AACCCTCTATCTGCTTTCTAGGCTGGCAAAATAAAAGTAAAGGCAATTGCACGAGCGCTTCGCCATGCTGAGCAGTCTCCTTCCGTCAATCGCCGGCGGATTAGCCAGATCTTCTCCCGTGAAGAACATTCCAGTCCCGACTCTCATTTGCAGCCTTCCCACCTGCATCGATGGGCTTCTATTCCTGGGGTCCAAGAACCTTCCCCTGCCGTAGACAGGACGGATTCTTCTCTATCATATGAAGGTGATGATAAGATTGAGCATACAGTAGCTGGAATTCCTGAAAGACAACTACTTCAATCTCCATCACGGTTCATAGAGCAAGCCGGAAGTTACGGGAGCATTGTAGCATCACCCCCGCAGGATGCACCCCCGTCCATTCCACCTTCTCTTGAACTTCCAGATCCTGCCTTGGATCCCGGGCAACCGGATTCACCCCCCCTCTCTCCCCACCAGAGTGGTGCTTGGACCAGTGGTGTGGTTGGCCAGTCCCGAAGCCCTGAAGATGTCAATATTAATACCTCAGGATTATCGAAAATACGAAGCGAAGATGTTGCTCCAGTCACCACACCGACTAAAAAATCTGTATTCTGGCCTCGGCGCCATTCCGTTCCTGCACGGGTATTCGATCAACAAAAGTCACGTTTGAAAAGCGTGTTTATTCCTAAGTCTCATCGCGAAAATAACATAAACAACGGCCCCGCAGACGAACTGGTAGTTCTAAAATATAGAGAATCGGAGTTTTTCGCTTTTATGGATATAGAGCTGGCTAAAATTGAATCATTCTACCTGTTGAAGGAGAAAGAGGCAACGGAGCGGCTCGCGACGTTGAGAATGCAACTCCATCTCATGAGAGATACTAGGATCGAGGAGATCAGAGCCAGCAGGCGGAATGGGAATGCAAAAAGTTCCCTTGGTGTGGTTGCCTCACCAACCAAGTGTTCTTCCGTCGGAAATTGGAAGACGCCGTTGGGGGGCGCCATAGGTAAAGGCCGCTCGAGGAAAACATCCAATGCCATGCAACAGCTCGCAACACCTTCTGGCCCAACACCAAGACCCTGCGCTACTGACGGCTGTCGAGATTTTGTTCGTCGTCAAGATTTAAACGAAGTTTCATATCGTTCTGCTAAAAGGAAACTAAAAGTTGCTTTGATAGAGTTCTACCGTGGACTCGAACTTCTCAAGGCCTACGCAGACCTCAATCGAAAAGCGTTCCGCAAGATGAATAAAAAGTACGATAAAGTTACGAATACCCGCCCAGCTGGTCGTTACGTTTCCGAGAAGGTCAACAAGTCTTGGTTTGTCCAGAGTGAGGTGGTTGAAAATCACATGGTGTCCGTCGAAGATCTCTATGCGCGCTATTTCGAGAGGGGGAATCGTAAGGTTGCCATCAGCAAACTTCGTGGCAGATCTTCAAGAACCTACGATCATTCTTCAAGCTCTTTCCGCAATGGCTTGACTCTTTCGGGAGGCATCGTTTTCGGTCTTCACGGAGTTGCCTATGCTGTACACCGGTTGTATCATGGGAATGATGAGGTCCGTGTTTGGACTAGTTACTTGCTTCAGGTTTGTATCTTTCCGAGTTACATTTACCGCTGGGAAGAGACATATACTAACTTTTAAGCTTAGATATATGGTGGTTACTTCCTCACGGTGTTTCATTTTCTTCTTTTCTGTCTCGATTGCAAAATTTGGTCAATGTCTAAAATCAATTATGCCTTCGTTTTCGAATTCGATACCCGACATGCGTTGGATTGGCGCCAACTGGCTGAGGTATGCTTCCTCTGTATTCCTGATATCACTACGGCCCCATCAATTTCTAACCTGCGTTACAGCTACCTTGCTTGTTTTTTCTGTTACTTGGGATAAGTATGTGGCTCAATTTTCGCTGGGTGAATGTAATGTACATATACTGGCCTGCCGTTTTGATAACTCTCACCGTTGTCATATTGCTTCTTCCTGCTCGCATCCTCTACCATCGTAGTAGGAGATGGTGGGCCTATTCAAACGTATGTACTCTGCACTCCATTCCCATCACACTCGAAATATTCTGACGTTTCAAAAGTGGCGGCTGTTGCTCGCGGGACTCTACCCTGTTGAGTTCCGTGATTTTTTCCTAGGAGATATGTACTGCTCCCAGACCTATGCCATGAGTGTAAGCATTTCCAAAATCAACATATAACATGAACGAGGCAATAAAAAACTAACGGACGTCATAGAACGTCGCACTCTTATTCTGCTTATACATCAATGGATGGGATAACGCACCTAAATGTAATTCATCTCATTCGCGAGTGATGGGCCTCCTCTCGACACTCCCGTCTATTTGGCGTTCCCTTCAGTGTCTACGACGTTATCGGGATACTAAAAATGTATTCCCCCATGTTGTAAATCTTGGGAAATACACGTTTTCAATCCTCTACTACACGACCCTGAACCTCTACCGGATCAACAACTCAAAGGGTCTTCGAGCCCTCTTCATCACATGCGCCTGTATCAATGCCATATACAGTTCTACGTGGGATGTGGCCATGGACTGGAGTCTAGGGAATCCCTACGCTAAGTATAACTTTCTCCGAAAGTCTCTTGGTTTCCGACGCCGCTGGGTGTACTACCTAGCAATGATCATCGACCCGGTCCTCCGATTCAACTGGATTTTGTACGCCTCATTCACGCATGGGTTTCAACATTCAGCCTTTATCAGTTTCTTCATCTCATTCCTCGAAGTATGTCGACGAGGAATGTGGTCGATATTTCGTGTGGAGAACGAACACTGCACCAACGTCGCCAGATTCCGTGCCTCACGAGATGTCCCGCTACCATATGTTATCCAGACCCCATCTGGGCCGTCACTTGGCCAGGTACCTGAACAACAGTCTAATGTCGTCCAACAAGAAAGCGTCCCGAGAGAGCACCAAGCTGCGACAGGTTTTGATGTGGAGAATGGCGTCGAAAATGGTTCTGTTCGACAACGCAAGGCGTCCTATGCTCCCGACATTGCGCGAACGTTGACGCGTGTAGGTACAATGCTCGCAATGGCACATGCGCAGGACTTCGAGCGGAAAAAGCAACTTGGGATTCTGGGTAAAACTGCCGACGATGAGAATCCGCATCCGGTAGGTGGGAGAGATAGTAGTAGTACGGAAGATGAAGCGGAAGACGACGATGATGAAGAAGAAGAAGAGATAGAGGCGGAGGTGGACCGGGAATTGGAGTATCAAGATGACGGGAAGAAGACATCTTAGATCTTAGATGCTTTCTGTTTCCATTTCAAATGCCCCCCCTTTTCATGTTCTCTTGTTGATATAATGTTTAATGATAAATGAGGTAGATTTTTGTTATTATGTTGCACACTTTGCCTGTACTTTTATTGTCAGTTCTGTTTATGCTGGACTTCCTAGCTTGATGCTGTTTATACTAGAAGGGGCGCGGATGCTACTACTGTTATGATCTGCTTGATAGAAAATATGTTGTACAGTACAGCCCTTGTTATGCTTGCAATTCGTTTCAGATAATACATGCCATTTGATGTTCATCTGTATTATGAAAACTACTTGGGGCGATTGTAAGATCTTGAATTGCATTAGTTAGCGGGTGAGTCAAGTTAGGGCTAGTTAACAGTGAGGCACGATCCTCACCCTCAAATCAGAGCCAATGCAACGATCCGATCTCTAGACGCTGCTGCTGCTGTCTCCCAAGGCCCCTCCCGCTCCAGTCCGAACAGCTTCACAATTTGTCAAGAGCACTCACTCGACGGAGCCTAAAATCTGAATGGTCGGACCTTGCAGTCCGACGAATATTAACACGGCCGATGTTGACCCGTCAAGAGTTGCAGCTTTTATTCGCTGGCGTTGCATCCTTTTTTCAGCAGCTCCCCGGGCCTGAAATCCCCAGCCACTTCCTGGACCCATTTTCGGAGCTCTTGCATCCTCTGGTTTCTCTGCTGAGGTTAGCAGGGAGGAACCCATTATTCCATCAACCCCGAAAGTTTTGTCTGACAAGGGAAAAGGATGTTGAGTTAGAGTTCTGGTTTGTTATCCTTGGTTATTCTGTCGATGAATTTAGCTTGGAAGCAACCAATAGTTCTTCCTTACTTCACAGAACTTTTATGGAACCTTGCAGCGGGCTTTATCCGATCTATCTTACTGAATTGTTCAAATGCCATGTATAACTATTTTTTCCACATTCTATCTCGCGTATCATCGATAGCTCTACCAAGCTGGGTAACTCATAACTACCAAGGAAGCCACCGCAGTGAGTCACTTGCGGATATATATGTCTTGATGCCACTTGAAGTCCCGGTGTGGATACAAACCATGCATGTGTGTGCACGATCAGAGTTGTCTAGTTAGTAACAGTGCAGGGTCAAAAATCCTGGCATGCTAGCAACAGCCCAGCAGAATTTATTCGACAGAGATGGTTCTTAAATGGTTTATGCTTGAATACGGGCGTGGATACTTCTATACGATCCACAACTGAGACTGTTGGGCATTTCGTGTATCATGCAATGAAGGGCTAAAAGTATTTTTTTCCAGAGACTCTATGGTGCTTATCATCCGTAAAGTTGCAGATGATAAGAGTATGAATGAATACGTTTATTGTACTCACTTGATATGCTTCATAGCTAAGACAATTCACAACTTTCCTCCCACGAGCCCAGTACCTTTATTATTTATGACCCACGGAATTTATATGTGAGTCTACACCTTTGAAGAGAAACCTGAAAGGCCTAGTAAATGGACCAATAAAATACTCATTCATGTCTAGATTTCGCGCAGGTAGTATTGGCGGCAGAAAGATGTAAATATAGGTGCTTTAATGGTGACCACCACCAACAACCACTTTCTTCATGACCGCATTTTTAAGAAGTTTATTCTCAAATAAAGATAACAGCAATGATGCACATAATAAGGCAAGAAACACAGGTACAAGTTCAACCGCATTGTTAAAACCACATAGAAACGAGAACTGATGGCCCATAGGAGATATAAGTGGAATAAAACAGAACGCAACAGATAAACGGCAGGAAGAGCAAGGGAACAAAAAGATCACAGCTATATGCACCCGCAAGGTACCCAACCGTCGTGTGAAGACAACTACTATTACGATTCGTTTCACCACATCAGGCAGATGTGGCTTAGGTATCATCTCTGCACGCATTGATATCCAACATGAGATTTAAGAGATGAAAGCGTTCTTGATCTCACTGTAGATAGCGTGGAGTTCATCAGTAGTAGCTTTCTCGAACTTGTCAATGACGTCATTGACCTCATCTTTGAGGGTGTGGGGTCTGTATTCGCTTCGTTCAATGATGTCGCTATAGTTGGAAGAGCCACCACCGTTCCAGATAAGAACCTGTGTAAAATGTTAATTAAAGAGAATGGCCTTTAATATAAGTCAAGAGTTAACTTACGTTAGCAGTGCCATGTGGGACATCGCTGAGAAAACCCTTGGTGCCAATTTTGACGAGGTTGTTCTTGAGTGATTCGGGAGTGAGAACGTCAACGGCGAAAGCGGATGTAGCCGAGGGTTGGAGAGAAAGGAAATAAGCTAGTAGCCCAGCAACGTGTGGAGAGGCCATGGAGGTACCAGAAATTGTGTTAACGGCGTACTTGCCACCGATCCAGGTGGACATAACGTTAAGTCCGGGGCCAAATACGTCAAGACACATGCCATAATTGGAGAAGAAAGCACGCTCGTCAGCAAGAGTTGAGGCGCCAACAGTAACGGCCTGGGCAGCAGCGGCGGGGGAGTAATAGCAGGCATTAGAGTTGTCATTGCCAGCAGCGACAGCGAAGTGGACACCAGTTTCAACAGCAGAATTGACAGTGTAATCTAAAGCGTGTGACCTGGAACCACCCAAACTCATGTTGGCAACGCTACCCTTGAAGCCTTTCTTGTTACTCTTGCCGGCCTTCGCGGCCTCGACATTTTTCGTATGGCTTGTGGCAACAAATTCAACGCCCTTAATGACATCGCCAATGGTTCCGGAGCCGTTGGACCTGAGAACTTTGACGGCGTAGATGTGGGACTTCTTGGCAACACCATACTTTTTGCCTGCAATTGTTCCAGAGCAATGTGTTCCATGGCCGTTTCCATCCTCATCCCCATCACCGTCTGGGATAGTCGCTCCCCAAAATGCCCGGTTCTCGAAATCGACATGGTCGATATAGGTACCAGTATCAATGACATAGACATCGACACCATTACCACCGTCAGCGGCATACAGGTATTTGTTGAATGTTGAAAAATTCAATTCTCGATGTGAGATTCTGGCCAAGCCCCAGGGGGCATCAGTCTGCATTACAGGTTCTTCATCTTCCATAGTGTGGACCTCAGCGTCTTTCTCGATATAATCGACCTAGGCAAGCCGAAACAGGGTTAGAGTCGCGAGCCTGCCAAGAACCAACTCAACATTGGGGCGAACTCACATCTGGATGCCGGCGGATTTGCTCAATAACCTCCTCATCGAAATTACCGGAGTACCCTAGGAACAAGCCAGAAATATTGTAGGTATGTTTTAGACCAGAGAACATATCATTCTTGATTGGAAACTGGTTGCGTTTGCTGAGGTTTGATCTCTTGGCCATAGCGGTCGTGTGGAGATCCTGCACCCAGCTCTGATGGGCAGCTACAGAAGCAGAGGTGACGTGTTTCTTGAAAACAATAATATATGAGTCTGGGATTTCTTTGGCATTCACCGAAGATAGGATGGGAGCAGCATCCTTGTGGATGGAGTCAACCACCATTGGCGATGCAGTCACCAGTAACGGGACGATCAAGGCGAAGAGGCCTTTCATGATGGAAGAAGGAAATTAGGAAACGAGTGAAAAAGCTAGTGAAAAAAGATTTGAGTGTACGAGTAGGTAATACAGCGGCCACTGGGATGAGGAGAGGTTCTGAAGGAAAGGAGGTGGGAGATGGGGGGAAACAGGAGGTTGACGAAAGGCTGGCTGTCTAGCGAGATGAGAAGAAGAGAGTGAGACGTTCGGTTGAGCTGGTGGTTGAGTTGGGTGGATGATGCAACTATTAACTATTATGGGGAAAGCTAGGTTAGTCAGCTGCAGCTGGGAGACCCACTCTTACGGCGTTGTTTGGGCATTGCGCGGGCCCTTCAGGGGCCGGAAATGCCTGGGTCACACGGAAGCTTGCCTGGTTTACCGGGCGGTACAGTACACGAACAGTACGCTGTCGGAGCCTTGCGTCATCCCGTGCGTGTTCCTTTTCTGCCAAGGGCCAGCCGCAAAGGTACAAGGCGTGAAAGAAACCATCGCGGTATCGGCATGTAATATTACGAAACCCAGCACTTCACCTATATATTTAGCGTGAGTCCAAAATAGTTACATTTTACACCTTTGAACAATCAGGTAACTAATTAAGTTTCCAACCAAAGGTTTTTTATTTTTTTTTTTCTCTTGGTCCTTGGGCTCAACGCCAAGGCTCCTTCCCCGATCCGGCCCGGCTCATGGGCATGGGCACATGACTTGAGTAGAATATGTCTGGCCTGGCAGCCTCCAGAGACACATATTAATTGAGTCACCCACACTTCCTTGCAAGGGTTCCAGCATCTTGCGCCTATCATAAGGTGTGGGATGGTTGAACCTTCTATTCGGAGGAGCTAGCTAGGTTATTGCTATATTACATACAAGCGATCACGTGTGGGTGGGGTGGTCGTAAGGGCAACGCCACCCAGGCGGGCGCCGCTACACCCCCCCTCGCATCGCCATGCGGGATCTCGAATGCCATATGCAAAAAAGGAAAAACTAGCTATGCCATCCTCAAATCCATCCAAATCATGCTACATACATTAAGTTTTGACATTCCTGCCTTTTCCACCTGTAAAATCAAGTAAATCAAGGAATTGTTGAAATGTCACTGTGCTCAGGGGTTTAGTCAATCTGTCTGCTGCCATTTCTTCAGTTGAAATGTATTCAATCAAGATAATGTCATTGTTCAATTGACTACAGGTGTAATGAAATCATGTGTCAATATGCTTGCTCCTAGCAGTGATCATGACTACAGTGACTAGATTGATCACATCTTTATTATCTGTCTTGATTGACAGGAGATCATTTGCTATAAAGCTCAGATTCATCATCATGCTTCTTAATCATATTGCTTCATGTAACAGTCTTGCTCAATGTCATGTATTTAGTCTCATTAAAACTTAAAGAGATGCATGACTGCTTGCTTGATCATCATGAAATTGATGTGCTGACAAGCATAAAAACATAGCTGAATATAGACTTCTGATCATCATTCAACAGACTAGTTCAGTCAGAATCTATGTATCTGACTGATAAATATGCCATGTTCAAGAACTTATTCTTACATTCTTCATCATCATCATTCTTCATATAAAATATGCTGATTTCACATGTATCTTTCAAATATTGAATGATGTGTAATAGGGTCTTTCATGTCTTAGAGATAGAAATAACATTTTTCTGTGTCAATAGAGAAGCTGTTCAGGTGATATTCAGCTGCAGTTTAACTGTCAAATACTGCAAGTAGTCAACACCATGTTGGAATTGCTGTTTTGTAAAACTAGCCTCTTTTTTAGAAACAGAGAAGTCATTCAAATATAGACTCTCATCCATGAGTGTTTGAACAGTAGTTGCATCATTCAGGTGGAAATCTTCTATCAATCAATTGATATAACATCAGAGAGTCAATTCAATGCTGTCATTCATATATTTTACTTCCATGTCTAAATATTTTGTGAGTTCATTCAAATCTTTGATCTCAAGCTTCTGATGCAGAATATCAACTAGTCAATCAGCATCCTTCAGAATATCCACAAAAATATGAAGATCATCAATATATATGATTATATATAGATATTTTTGGGCTGAATACTGTCAAAAAATGAGGTCATAAGAACTCAGAGTAAAGTCATTCTTCTGTAGCAGAGCTGTCAAGTAATCATATCATATTTTAACAGTTGAATTCAATCTGTAAAAAGATTCTTCAACTGCACAAACAAGTGTATGTGAAGCTTCTTCTTCAAAGCCAGTAGATTGTTTCATATAAACTGTTTTTTTAAGTCTTCTGTATAAGTACATCATCACTATATTCACCTGTTGTAGGATTCAACTATATTTTGTGACAATCACAAACATCATGTAATTCATGATATCTGTAACTACAGAGGCATATGTTTCTTGATGTGTTCTCTTTTTGAGTCAATTGTCATAAATTACTCATTTGAACTTTCACAATATGTTATTTTCATTGACATTGAGGTCACTGAGGTGATTCTTTTTGATAAAGACTTAGCAATCAAATATCACTGACTCATAATGAGAGACATCAGAATGTGGAATTAATGTCCAAGTCTTCTGATGTTCAAGATTGTCAATTTTGCATTGCATAGATTTCCTTCAATATGATTTCATCTGCAGACAGTTAATCACATTCTTGAAGCTTTTCAGCAAGCTGCATATAATTGAGAAAGATGTGTATATCATAAAGGCTTTCACAGGTCTCATTTATGGAATATGTAGTTTCAAAAAATCAGAAACATCAAAATCATCCTTCATCAAATAGATGATAAGAGTCAGGGTGTTTTCAACTTCAATTGTCATGAAAGTGATAAAATCCTTTTGTATTTCCTGCACTTTTGTAGGGAAAACTACATCAAATGTATCAATAATCTTATTAGAGGTAGAACTCCACACATGATAGATTGACTAGCTATGAAATTCAATAAGTTTGCATAATTCAGTCTGAGCAGACAGCTTATCTATCAGCTTCTGTGATCTATGAAGGTGGACAAAAACATCAGATTTAAGCTCACAGAAGTGAGTGATCTGCAGTGACATATTCATCAATGCTGAAAAAGAAATTGTATGAGAACTACAGACAGACTTCTTGCTGTCATCATTTATGATTGCAGGTCAATACTTCTCATTATATAAGATTGTAGATGTGAATGTATTATTTATGATTAAAACAACTATTTCTAGAATATTCATTCAGAACTTCTTTGAAATTTTCTTTTCTATAATAATTGCTTTGATTCATGTCATAATGATGCAGATGCCATGTTCAAATACACTGTCTTGATGAGATGATTGAGAAGTAGTTGATTCCCATATTGTGCTGTCAGCAATCATTAACATTGTCATTTTTTATAATTGAAAAACCTCATCTACATCTGTTCTGATGTAGACAAGGGTTAAAAAACTAAGGTTCTTAATGAACTTAATTCAATAAGAATAATAATCAAATGCTTAGTCTTTGCTACATAGGAAATAGATTCATCTGAATCATGTCATGTCATCTGTGATTAACATGAAATATTTTATGCCTTGATGAGATTCTATAGGATGATCATTTGTATTGCTCAATATATGATCATCATTCACCAGATCAATATAAATCTGTTCCATTGGCCTTATAGTCTGTGGCATGAAGATGATCAAGTATTTATGCATCATACCTGCTTTGATGTAGGTGTCACAAAAGAAACTAGTCTTGAGACTATTGATACAGATATCAAATAGTAAATTCTTTGTCAAAGCTATAATGACTTCTGTGTATATATGCCTCAGGTTAATATACCACTCAGCAAGTACTTTCACAGCTGTAGGTAATTCTTGAGATTGGAGTTGAGTATTGATAGAATTATTGTCACCAGTGATAGCTAAGGCCTTAGTATAATCATTATTATATATATGTGATTTTGCTGTGAAATAAATCACTTTTGACTCATGATGAGTGTCAACTTCTGACATCCTTTCAACTATTTTATAAATCAAACTCTGAGCTGTGTGAATTGTGATGAAAATAACATCATTGAGAGTCTTGATGATAAAGTAGAACAGAGTGTTTGAATTTAAAAGTTCATATTGAAAACTCTGATTCTTCAACTTAGTAAAAGACACTAAGTTGACAGTAAGATTCAGAACATAATGAACATCACATATAGATATATCCCCTCTATCAGATTCTAAAATGAGATTTTCAATCTCTTTGACATGACTATATCTACCATCTGCTGTATGAACTTTGAGATTATCATCATAGATTTTCTATTGAATAATAGATTGCTTTTCCCTCATTATATGAAAACTTGCACATGTGTTGAGAAATCAAGACTTGAAGATAATGTCAGTGATTACTGACAGAGCAATCACAGCATTGACAGCAGTAGATTATATTACTAGAAGATCAGAAGATTTATTTTTTTTATCATTCTTATTCTTTTTTTTACTCTTTTATTTATTGTAACTGCTGATGTTGCTATTTTCTATGAACTTGATAATCTTATTTTTATATATCTCTCTTCACTCTTCAGTGACAAATTCAGAGTGTAATCACTAACAAGAGTTCTTAATATACTGATTTGAGTGACAGATCTCACATTTAAAACTATTTGAATTTGTGGTGTCAGATGAGTTGAAGTTTGATATGGAGAAGATAGCTGCATTAGCTTGTAAAGATTTGAAGCATTTATTGAACTTGCTTATACAATTCATTAACTGCTTCATGAGATCATTAATGTCAATATTTTTAATAAAATCCTGGCTGATCATGTAGAAATCATTCAAACATGTCTTGATAAAAGACTTTTGATGTTCTTTCAAATCAATAAAGAAAAAATTATGATAGAAGTTCTCTGAGTCATTTATCAGTTTCTTATGACATGCAACTAAGTAGCAGAATCTTCTTTGAAATATCAAGTAATCATTATTGATGTGTAGAGTAGTCAGCTTCTTTATGACATTAAAACATTCTTTCATCAAAGACATCACATATTCAACACTAATCTTTTTTCATAATGCAGCAGTGTTGTCAGGTTTCAAGACTTCAATGATTATATATACAGACCTCAATAAGAATTACAACATAAATCAATAGAGTGCTTTGATTCAAATATTTCATTTTTTAGCATTCAACATGTTTTAGCTAATATCATCTAGGCAGACATGTTGATTCTTGATTAGAATGTCAGTTCCATCAATAACTTCAGTATTTACAAGAATTCTCATACACCAGATTTAGTAATTAATGTCATTAAATATAGTTACTACCTTAGTATCCATAGCTCTTTGAATATTCTTTTGATATTCACAGATCTGAGATTTGAAATCATCTGCAGATATATCATTGTTGATATTTGAAGTGTTCTGATGTGTCATTTGTTGACAAAAGACCAACAAATCTGCTACACTCATTGTAATCATGTCACTTGCATTAGGAGTAGGCATTTGAGGCTAGGGGCTTGAGGTTCCTTCACTAGCTGCTGTGAATTCATGTATAGACTCAGGAGCAGACATTTCATCAGACTCATGGCTTGATGAATCCATGATGTGATTTGAACTTGGTTCCTGCTTCAGGCCTTCTAATTCTTCATTCTCATCTAGTGATGGGAACGCTCCAACAGCTCTAGAATGTGATTGTAAAGATTGCTTTCTCTCTGTTAAAGGAATAGATAGTTCAGTCATTAGATCAGAGGGTGAACTCATCCAGACATGTACACGGCTGTTCTTAATGTGATTTTTTTTTAAAAAAAAACCAGCTATCCAGGCTATAACCTGTGGGATGGTTGAACCTTCTATTCGGAGGAGCTAGCTAGGTTATTGCTATATTACATACAAGCGATCACGTGTGGGCGGGGCGGTCGTTAGGGCAACGCCACCCAGGCGGGCGCCGCTACAAAAGGAACGCTTTGGACGCCCTTGTCACGTGATTAATTTGTGGCTAGTGAGGTACTTAGGGCTTTGTCGAGCGTCGACTTTGTTCCGCGCAGCCAGATGCTGTTGGCGTTGTAAGGGATTTGATTGTAAGGGGTCGTCTCACGCGAGATATCTCCCAACCAAGCAGGCAGGGCTGAGATCTTCTAATTGCATGCTGAGTGATTTCTCTAACCCCGTAATTGCGCACCAAGAGGGTAGCCTTCTGTTTCTCATGAGCGACTCCCTCTTCCATAACTACAACTCCATCTTTGATTATTATTACCTAATGCCCTATTGAATTGGAATCTCTAATGGTTGAAACACGTTGGCAATCGAGTCGTCTCACAGTGGAGGGGGATCGGCTTGACCCCTACTTACTAAATACCCACATATGACTTGAACTCTCTTTGTCTCTTTGGTAGATACTATACATTCTTAATGGTCCAAGTCTATAATTGTCCTTGTCTAATCTCTTAATAATCTGAAATATGCAGCGTCAAAGTTCCGCGGAGGAACTATGAATTGCGCCCCTTCCCGCTCACGGCGTCCCTCGTCCCCGCCATCGTTAACCTCACAACGCTTGGTGAGCGATCTGAAGCCTGTCATTGACTCCCTGATCGATATATGTAACAAGCAACATCCATCTGTTCATGATGCTCTTGGTGCCACTGAGGGGCTCCTACGGTTGCGTCACACCTTCATCGACGATGAGAACACGAGGGTCGCAAAGGACACTTTTCACCAGCTGTCGGGATTCCAGACCTTGCTCAGGTTTCTACGGTTGATTGGAGATATATATGACCCCTCTACTTTGTTGAAGGAGGATCGAAAGAGTCTTTTGGTTCTCGTCAAAGACATACATGGCGTGCTGGCTGAAAGCTTGAAAGACCATCCGGGGAACAAGAGATATTTCGCCAAAAAGATCGACGGTGGGGGTGTTGTGCTCCTAGAGAGCAGCTTGTCGCCATTATCTAAGAAGCTGGACCTCGACACTGAAGGATTCGTTGCCGATGCTACCGATGTTGAGCAATTCTATGGCGGGCTTCTAGCTGCGGCTCTGGGGCAAGAAGTGTTCGCTGATTTCTTCAGTGTGATAAGGAAAAAAGTTGGACAAAACAATAATTCTTCCAACTCTTCCGCAGTGCAGGAAGCCGTTAGCAAAACTCTAGGAGCAGCAGAAACAATTGAAAACGGCGAATTCGTGGGTCCTCTTTTGCATCTGTGGTTGGACCAGTCTTCATTTCTTCCAGGATTCTCCATACAACGATTGGCCATTCCAGCATGCCTGACCCATTTAGCCTCGCAATCCCGGCGCAACTTACTGGCACTTCATTCCACGGGAATACTTACCTCCTTACTCCCAATCGTTACAAATTCAAAAAGGGTTGGGCAAGGAAAGGATCTGTATTGTGAACTCGCCAGCATCTTATGTTCTGAAGGTGTCAATAATTTAGAAGATGCTGCGCACCTTTATCGTGCGGCTCATGCCTCCCCTGATGTCACTAAATTTCTACTCGCTGCCGTTAAATCATCCAAGAACCCTGCGTGCATTCATTTTGATCTATCAAGGCATGGTTATTCTTCCGTTGAGTTGCCAACGCTAGGAAGGACGTTTCCACCCACCCACTCCTCCGGATATTCTCTTGCCTTGTGGGTACGATTTGAGAACTTTGACCCAAATGCGCACACGACTATATTTGGAGCGTTTGATGCTAGTCAATCTTGTTTTGTTCTCGCGTATCTTGAAAAGGATACCCATAACTTTATCCTCCAAACTTCGATGAAGGGTGCTCGTCCAAGTGTTCGCTTCAAGTCTGTGGTGTTTTCTCCTGGTCAATGGTACCACATATGTATTGTTCACAAAAGACCTCGACCTACCTCCTCATCCCGGGCATCACTCTTTGTCAATGGAGAGTTTGTAGAACAGTTAAAACCTGAGTACCCATCAAGTCCACCTAAGTCTGCGGCGCACAGGATGCCTCGTGTCCAGGCATTTCTAGGTACCCCGGAGGACTTGGCGACTCGGCTTGGGAAAGGGGTATCAACGTCACGGTGGTCCTTGGCATCTGCCATTCTATTTGACGAGGCATTTTCCGACGACATCATAGCTGTTTTCTGCCATTTGGGACCACGATACCATGGCAATTTCCAGGACTGCTTAGGATCGTTCCAAACTTACAAAGCATCTGCTCAATTGAATCTACGCAATGAGAATCTCCATCCTGGGAAGGAGGAGAACTCGGATATCGTTACTGTTATCCGGCGGAAAGCAAGTACCCTGATTCCGGAAAATTCTGTTTTACTAAACATATCACCGATGACCGTTCTCGATGATGATGATAGCAATAACGTCGATGAATCTCAGCTTGTGAAGTCCTTATCAAAGCAAGCTGCCAGAAATTTGAACCACCTCACTAAAGCAGGTGGAAACGCTGTCGCAATCAATGGGGCTGTTCCTGCGATTAACGATGCCCTAACCCAAGCCCATGGGGTTGCCATTTTGACCGGTGATCCGGTTGTAGCCGTTCCCCAAGCCTTAGACGATGCGAGCTGGCAGATTGGTGGATGCGCCGCACCACATCTCAGTCTGATCGAAGCAGCTACCACCCCAGAGAGCACTTGCGCTGCCGTGGAAACTCTGTTCGAAGCGGTTCAAGACAATTGGAGAAATAGTGAGGCAATGGAGAGGGAGAATGGCTACAGCATACTTGCTGTCTTACTTCGTGAAAAGCTTGGCCTTTCCAATCACATTCAGAATGCTCTTTCAAAACCGACCGCTGTCTTTTCAACCCCCGAGCAGCACAATGGATTAGCAATGGAAATTCTCCTATTAATTCTGAAATTTGTTGGCTATGATTTTCAGAATCCCAAGAAATCGATTATTACTAACCCCTTAGCCTATCGGGTTCTTCTTGTTGATTTAGACGTCTGGAGGTATGGGAATCTACCTCTGCTCGAGATATACTATTCCCAATTCATCACGTTCTCTGCTGAGTGCCACAACCACCGATTTAATACTAAGCGACTATCTCGAATGCGTATGAGCCCTGTCACTACTCTAAACCTATCTTGATTGAAGCTAACATTATTTCCAGGTGTCATCAAGAAACTGCTAGATGCCCTGAAAGGAGAGAGTTTCACCTCAGAATCCATGAAACTATTTATTCCAGCATTTAGCTGCCTCGTAAAATCCTGCATGTCGACGGAAATCCTCAGGTCCCTAGCGCTGTTCATCACCTATTCTATCCACGCTGCGAAACCGTCGACGAGCTTGCAGAAAAGGAAAAGCATGCGCTTCGATCCCCGCGCTAAGCGGCCCGGTTTTGCCCTCTTCCACCATCCAAACAGAACGTACCTCTCCAAATCTGAAATAGGAATCGAAGTCTTAAAAGCTTACGCCAACATTATCTGTAAAGAGAGTGGAACTGCAAACATTGCAAAATTTGCCAGAACGGTGACGAACAAGGTTAGCTTTTGCATTTGTATTTTTCTCATAGTTGTCATTCTTTTGTTTGTTTTACTGATGTCTTTCTGCAGTGGCTGCTCTACCTAATCTTAGAAGATAACCCTGAGGTCGTGGTGCTGGCCCTCACTATTCTGGCTAGGTTACTGGTCACACATGGAAGTAGTTATACAAGGAAATTTGCCGACAAATCAGGTGGATTCGTCATCATGCGTCGTCGCCTGAAACGCTGGTGGTATGTTCCCGCGTTGTGGCCTATTTGCTTTGCTATATTGTTCGGAAACGATGTTGGCCAATTGGACCTTGACCGGCCGTTTGACCACTTCGGATTTCTGGATTTGTTTAACTCCACTGGGGAGACTGAGGAGTTAAGGGTTATATATCCGGAGATTTTTCCTGTGATTATGGGAATGCTCGAAACCGGCCTCAAGGCGACGGTTGCTAAGGAGAGTGAATCTCCTGAAACCGAAGGTGTGATTGAGCTCCCCACTCGAAATCGTGTAGATAGGCGCTCGATGTCAAGCACATCACCACCGGGTTAGTTTCTTGAGCTCCTCTTTCCTAGTCTCTTTTTTGTCGCAGATCACATTTTGCGATAAATTTTTCCAATCTAACTTAACTTCCTCTTAGAGGCGACTACGATAAACGCGTCTTCCAAGCCAAATATTGAACTACTAAACACGGTGGTTGGCTTTCTTGCCGATATTCATGTGAAATCTAAACACTTTCGTGACTTTACCGTGTCTTCTACCTATGTGCAAGAGCTGCTTTTCCTTCTATTCCCCGTTGTCGTTGGCTCAGATACGGTTAGTGCTGATGTGGAGCTAACTTCGCGATCTTCTGGCCTCACATTTGGTGCGAACGAGATGGTTATCCGCCCTTTGTCACATGCACGTCCTGTTCTACGCACCACGACTGTAGAACATTCGGAGTCGCAAGAGGGTGGTAATGGCCTTAAACGGGGGTCCTCCTTTATCCTTGTCTCGTCTGATAAATCTCAGCACGCCCCATCCTTAGCGCGACTTAGCCACGCTGTTGCAGCTAATTCTGAAAACATAAATCTTCCGCCCACTCATTCTATTGTGGAAGGAATCCTGGAACTGGTTGCGGCTGTTTTCATTGACCAAATACTCACCAGGAAGGACTTTTCTGAGTTAGCTCTCCACTCGACTATTCCTCCCGGATTTGTTGAACATCAAACATATTTCGAGTCATGGGTTCTTCGGAATGTCCTGTCCCAATTAAAAAATACAATTCTACTGAACCGCAAACTACTATGGGAACCCCGCGTTCTAACCAATCTCTC